GGCCTTTATTTGGTTATGAAATGTATTTTCTATGCCTATTTTATTGACTCTTAGTCATAAAGGACTATGATATTTTATCAAATGCTTTTTAAGTGTCAATTAATATGGTCACATGATTTTTCTCATTTCTTCTCTTAATGTGATGTATTACATTTGTTGTTTTATACATATTGAATTGTCCTTGTATTCCAGGAATTAATCCTACCTGGTTGTAATGTATAATATTTTTTAAATGTTGTAGGATTGGTTTCAGTCACGAGATATGGCCCTATGGTATGTTTACATACACATGTGCTACTTTGGTGTTCCTTGCATCATTTTTCTACATTCATGTCAGTCTCTGACTTTATTTTCTTTAATACTGGAGAAATTGCTTTCTTTAATGTAGATCCCCTGGTGATAAGTTATCTTAACTTCTTTTTAATTCCCAAATGTCTTTGTTTTATGTCATTTTTTTCTCCTTATGGGAATGCTCACTCACTAGAAACAGAGGAGGAAAGGAGAAAGCATCCCCCATAACCAGCTTCTAATAAGCCTTTTTTATTCTTCCTGGGTGGCATTGTGTTTGATCCCTAATACATCATAGGAAGTGATTTCTTTTACCCCTTCATACTGCCAGTGAGTGGGCTGAAGCTAGCATAGGAACACTTAGCTTTTTTTCTTTTTGAGAGGTTTTTGCTATAGGGCACATGTGCTCACCAGAAAGACAGAGAGAGACAGAGAGACAGAAAGCAAGAAATCACCCGCAGGGGGGATGGCCACACCATAATCCCTTCTCCTCCATTCTCCTCTTGGGATCTTGGGCACGCATGTACACATGCCCAGCGTGAGTTTAAGCCACTGAGTCTGGGACTTGAACCGTGGTAGACTACGTGAGAGTCCAGCAACATAGCCATTATGCCAACTGCTGGTCCCAGGAGCACTTTGCTTTTGACAGCTCAGGCAGCCATTACTCCTCTCATTCTCAACATGCATTCTGGAAAGTTCCTGAGGGCCCTTTTTATAAAATTTATTTTACTACCAACAGTCCTCATTTGTAACATTTGTATATCTCCTTTAAGTCCATAAATTTATTTCTGTGTAGTTTAAATTTCTTGTCTGCTACTTGAAATGTCTGTATTATTTTAGTGACTTTATTTCTAAAATAGGGGTCACATTTTGCTTTTTTTTTTTTTTTTTTTTTTTTAA